CTAAAATCACGATGTCAGCCCGGGTCGCTTTACGCAAGAGGTTGTGAAGATTCTGGTGAAATTCATCTTTGACTGCATCTGGGCTGCAGTCCGTTGGAGCGTACGCCGAAACGACAAACGAGTTTCGTCCATCTTGTCGATGGCTGCTTATCTTGCACGAACCTCTGAGTCTCACTGCGCATAAACTACTGTCGACGGATCCAGTCCAGGAGGGTGGCTTCAGCTCTCACTGAGAGCCACGCCGACGCCAGCGAGACCGGAAGCCGCAGCCTCAGGGTCCCCAGAGGGGTGTAAGTGAAACTTCACTGATGGATTTGAAGGGGACGTCAATCGGATAATGGAGCTGAAATCTTGAATGCGAGTTTCTTGGATACAACACATCGATGGCTAGGGCTTCGATCGTACGAGCTAAACACGCCTGTTGTCCTATACGCATCAGAGTACGCACATTAAACGTGGTTAGTTCGTAGGGGCATCGAGGGCGAAGAAGGGCTTCAGCTGGTGGAGGATTCGGTGAGATTTGGATGTTAGTCGAGGTAGGACAACAGCGAACAGCGGCAAAATTTCCACCCGAGGCGCTACTGTTAGTACGATCGTCTGAAGCACCCGAGAGAGGTGGAGGAGTGTTGGGGAGGTAGAGATGAGCTGGGGGGAGGCTGGGAGAACAAGGTGTATACGGTGTAAAATGCTTTTGCAGGATGAGAAAGCACCAGAGTACACAGTTGTAAGAGCTAGGGTCATGGGTTGTATGCATTGCGGGCTATTTTACTACTCGGTCGCCCGGTCCAGAGTAGGCCTTGTTCGAGGATGCACTCTAGCCTTTGCGCAACCAAGCGCCGACTGCAAGGCAGCAATAATGTTCCAGATGAGCCGGTGGTCAGTCTTTGGTTCATTCGCCTCTTCTGGAGAACCTTGTCGAGTAGTGGGTCTCGACAAGGAGCAGTGGCCATATGTAGTGGCGGGCCACACTCGCCACGTCACAGATGTGTGGTGTTTTGTGCGAAGTACTCCTGCCAAGAAGTAAAACCACCACGTCCTCGAGCGCTGCCGCTGATCTTCCGTAATCGCTTATTCGGCAGGCCGAAGCCCGGTTAGCCGCGAAGTGACGGCCGTTCCCTTATCCGCGACCGGGGGACGCGCTTAGTAGCATACAGCTCTGCTCTCCCGAGGGTGTCTGAAAGATTCAGGTGTCTAGACTTCCACGATCACAACACGTACTGTTCCTGTCTAACAGTCTTGAACTGCACTGCTTCCTGTTTGCTGTTACCACTTCTGAGAGGAAGAAACCACGTGAAAGTAAACGTGAAGTGGTAACAACGTATGGAGAAATTAACTGAGGTTAGTTCAGGCAGGTATCTCCCGTCTCAGGCTGCTGTCCGTAAGGCTAAGTTGAAGGTTGGAGACAAATGTGATGGTCAACTGACAGCGGTGGCGTCCTTGTTACTTCCTATCGGATCCGAATGGTGGAAGGGATGTGTATGCACGGTTGGATTATGTACTCTGTGTTGACCATAGTGGTTAAGGTTCTTCCGTTTTTCTAACCGCCCCACACATTCCTACTTACGGTGTCGACGTAAGCTCAGCTCAGTGTACTGTGCTGTATAATGGTAATAATGATTATAACGAGCAGGTAAAGGCATCTGTTGCTTCCATTTGATCAGCATGCTTCTTGGCGGCTTCGTTTGTTATGTATTGAAAACTTGGGGTTTCTTTTGAGGAAAAGTGAATACCTACATTTGTGAATAGCATAGTAATTATTTTCATCGCTTGAATTTACGTGGTTTAACTAAACCAGTTTTCTGCCTTCATGCTTAATCAAATTTATTTGTTTCTTAACGTAACTCATTTACGCTTATGATTGATGCAAAAATGGTTTATAGCGAAACCCGGTGCAAACGTTCCAAGTACCAAATGCCATATCCGCGCTGGCTGTGAATAAAGATGATAGCCGATTAGTGGTTGCCGATGGTCCGTCCATTGGCGTCTGGGAACCGCGACAACAACAGTTTCTGTCTTATTCTTTCTCACCTAACGACGTGGTTCGTTCTTCGGCTAATAGCCTTCGACTACACTACAAGACGGTCACCGCTCTCTGGGTGGCGGATCATCCTGATGCTGGTGGAAGCGAGGTATTATTCTCTGCAGCCACGGACAAGTTGGTAAAGGTGACTCATTTAACGGACTGGAAAGAATTGCACCAAATTCGTTGTCCTTTACCGTTAACCGCCGTTGGTACCACAGTAAGTCTTTTTTAGCATTGTTTTTGAGGCCGGCTTTTTGCATCGTCTTGATGGGTTTAATTTAATGCATGTATGAAGAGTTTTACATAGAGATTCGCCGAAGCAAACATCTCCCGTTTTCCAGTCTGGTATCCATAAGACGAACTGGTAGGTTGGCGATACTGGGGTGTGGTAGTCAACTGATAACAATGGGGTTCGTGTCATTTATCGAATCCAATTGGTCCAGAGATCTATATGCATGGCTAGATTATTTAGTCTGTGTTGACCAATAGTGGTTAAGATAATTCTTTCCTTTCTATCCATCTCACATATTCCTAATTAACAGGTTATGCTTTGTTCAATGTGTTCAATGTGTTGTGTATACATTGTAAGCTTGGCGGCGGTTGACGAATTTCGGTTCACTGTATCACGATGTCCGGATGATGTTATAATGACAATTGTGTGATCACCAGTAATAGTCTTGCTACATCCAATACCGTTCTTCGGATTAACACGGCAGCTCTCTACGCTTGATTAAATTTATCTCGTCGCTTTCAACTTCTGAATTTCACATAGCTTTTTTTGCTGTAACTGTATCTTAGATCACTGTAGCCGTATTGCTTGCCCCTTCTGCAATGTGTCACACCACGGAAGTGATCACTGAGGTGTCAAATCATTCGAGGTATAGTTTCTGCCCCATTAATATGTACTCAAGTATTCTCAATAGATTCATACCATAGTGGGTGGTGGTAGCGCAGTGGTTTATTAGCATTTATTGGCGCTCTTTAGAACCTACAATTCGAAGTTCGAGCCGCGCCACCACCACCCAACTTTGATAGTAGGCAGCTTTGCTGTTATCCGGTTCAATACTATGCCTAATCTAGCGGGGCTCCCAATGTGTTTCGCCACTCCAAGTCTTAGGTTAGGAGCTTAGGTTTCGATCACTGAACAGCAGGTCTTTGCCACTACGGGGTCCACCCCGTCTGCTGTTCATCACACTAAAGTATTTAGTAAAGGAAACTAAAAGAAAGTAAAAATAAAACCAGAACTCATTTAGTTGAGCCGAAGCTTCAATATATAGCTCGCAGTTGATTTTGATGCATAGTTTGGGAAACTAAGCACATCGGAAGCTTACCTAGGTGGTCTTTGCTCTCTGCCCTTCCAGCGAACAGATAACGGCGATTGACTTCTGCGTACATCTCCATTTGTTCCTATTCAGTAACAACTTCCCAGGCAGCTCTCAACGAACGTGGCGCTCCGATTCTAACAGTATGCTTACTCAACTCGATTACATAGCAATAAGCTACCGTTGGCGTGGGTCAGTATAAAACTGCAGGTCCTGTTGAACCGCCTGCGTTGAATTTGACCACGTATCAGTTTTGATGCAGTTCACTCCGACTTTCTGGTTACAGAAAAACACACCAAAGTTGGTTGGCAGATCATCGATTATTTAATCCAACCGT